GAACCGGATCGGGGGGAGCATCAACCCTGAGAGGAGCTTCAATCCTGGGGGGAGTCTGAACTCCAAGGGAGCCTCAATCCCGGGGGGAAACTCAACTCCGGGGGGACCCTGACTCCAAGGGGAGCCCCAAGCCCAGGGGGACCCTCAATCCCGAGGGGAGCACCAGACCCGGGGGAGAACTGGATCAGGAGGAGCCTCAGCCCCGGAGGGTGCAGAGCCCCAGGGGGAGCCTGACCCTGGGGGAGCCCCAACCCCAGTGTGTTTGCACAGCACCAAGCCCCACTGAGCTCTTCCCACCCCATCCAGTGGGAACCCTCAGTTTTGGGGCTGCTCCTGCCTTTCCCCCCTCCCAAATCCATCAGTTCTGCTGCCCCTCACTCCCTCTGTCCCACCACACTCACCTGTGAGGGAACCCCCAAGGATGGCAAGCAGCAGGGTGAGGAGCAGGGCATAGAGCTGGGACAGTGCCTGCTCAGTGGCTGTCCTAGTCCCCCTGGCCACCAGTGGGAACACCAGCTCCAACCTGCAATCCAGAGAGGGGACAGAGACTTGGGAAACTTCTCCTGGGCTTGAATCTCTGGGTGATGCACCCTAAGAGGTCGTGGTGGTCCCACCTTGGTGCTTCAAGCCACTTGCACCTCAATTCTGCCTCTTACCTGTCACCATAAGTGTCTGCGGTGGCCAGAAGGGTCAGGAGTATCCCCAACAAGGCACCCAATATTCCTGGAATCCCATGGATGTTGTGAACTCCACAGGTGTCCTGGATCTTCAGCCTGAAGCGCAGGAAGGGCTGGAGGAAGCACATGGAGGAGTTGGCACTGGGTTGGGAGGAGGTTGTGCTGCAGCTCTGTGGTGGTGGTGGTGGGTTTAGGAGCACAAGGTTGGGGATGCAGCTGCCCACAAAGGGCTCCTCGACCTGGGATTGGTGTCCTTGGCTGTTCTGAGGTGACTCACCGTGAAGAATTTGAAGCCAAGAGGGGAGATAAGGCCAACCAAGAGCCCAGCGATGAGGGCACCAAAAGGGGTGAGCAGCATCTCCCCAGCCATACCCATCACAGCAGCACCAGCCAGAGTGGCATCCTGGAGCTGAACCTGATGGAGCAGGACATGGTCAGGGGTGTTGTCTCCATCAGGATGGGGTTTTGGGGGTGGTTGTTGTCCTCAGGTTGACTCTAAAGAACTTAGGAAAGCCTCATGGGCATCACCTTTTGCCCTGGTGTGTCCATGCTCAGCAGCCCTGGGGGACAGGAGGGTTGGGGTTGAGCCAGGAGAGGACTTACCATCCTCAGGGTGCTCTCCCCGTGGAGGAGAGGGGAGAGGATGAAGGTGGCCACAGTACTTGCCACCATTGAGAAGTAGGTGTTGAGCACTGCCCAAGGTTCAACGTGGTCATGGACTGTGGTGGCTGAGGTGAAGCTGGGCCAGAAGATCCACAGGTAGATGGTTCCTGTGGAGGAGAAGTAGAACAGGAAGGTTTTGATCCTAGGGTTGATCCCTCATGGAGAAGAAACTTGTGGCTAGTGCCAACAGATAAAAGTGGCCACAGCAGTGAGGGAGGTGCAGGTTGGACATGAGGAGAAGCTTTTTCTAGGAGAAGGTGGTGCAGCCCAAGGACAAGTTCCTGAGGAGGTGAAGGACCTCTGTCCTTGATGGTTTGCAGGACTCTGCATGTCCTGAAGTTGGTGATGGCCCTTCCACCACCACCTCTATGAGTCTGGTGTAGGGCTCGAGCTCCATACCAACCACAGCAAAGACATCCAACTGGGGCTCCATGTCCTGCTGCTCTTCCCTCTTCCTCTTCTCCATGTGGGGCTGGTGCAAGAGCCTTGAAACCATCAAGCCAAAATAAGCCCCAAAGGTGTGGACAGTCAAGGAGCCTCCAGTGTCACTTACCTGGAGGGTACAGAGAGGCAGGAAAAGGGATAAGGGACAAGGCATGAGGAGCCTAAATCCACTGTCACCTCCTTTTTGGGGGTGCAGTGACTCACCCCCATGAGACTGAGCAGGATGTACTCATTGAGAGAGCAGCAGGTGACTCCCAGCAGGGTCAGCAGCAGCATCTGCACAGGGTTCAGCCTGCCCAGGACAGCTCCAGAGGAGATGAGAACACTCGTGGTGCAGAAGTCAGCGCTGACCATGCTGGGGAGGAGAAGGAAAGTGTAAGGTTGGACCTGGCACTGCTGGGGGTGAGCTCAGGAGCTGAGGGGTGAGCTCAGGACATGAGGGATAAGCTCTGGAGCTGAGGGATGAGCTCAGGACATGAGGGATGAGCTAATGACATGAGGGATGAGCATTGGACATGAGGGATGAGCACTGGAGCTGAGGGATGAGCTCTGGACATGAGGAATGAACATTGGACATGAGGGATGAGCT